GGAACACGCGGAAAATTATATTTTTTCCTTTTGTTTTTCTATCAGAATTTTTGCAAGTTGCAATCGCGCAAACTGGCATTTCGTTAATAGTTTTAAAATTTTGTAAATTCACGGCAAAAACTGAAGAAAGTCATTATAGAAAATAACAAATGTCTTAGAATATGTCACAAAAAGAAATGCTCCAATATTAGTTAGAGCTAGTAAGGCCGAACGCTCTGTTCTTGAAGTAAAAGTGCGAGCTTTGTGCCAAAGTGACGTCACTAGAGATAATCGGAGGATTGGCGCGGCGAGAGTTTCTTCAAAGGAGTGAACCAGCCCTTCTATTCTCTTTAGCCCTGGGTTATAAAATAAAAATAAAATACCCGATCGGATAATCGGAACCAGCTGCATAAAAAAATTCAATTTTCCCCGGTTACCGGGCACCTGGCCCTTGCAAAATTTCAGGACCCCTTACATCTCTAATTAAGAGATCAATCTTGATTATTATTTCTCTAGACCTTTAACAACTTTAATCAAATGTATGTTAATATAAATATGTATTTAATTCACTATATAAGGTATTTAACAAAAATAAATAAATACTTACGCTTAACCCGTACGTGAAGCTTTTATTACTTCTTTTTCTTGATTTATTAGTCTAGGAATAAAATAAAAAGACATGTAATTTTCGAAAGTCTTGACATCAAAAATAAAGTAACATATGCAATGCTTGAAAGATTCCGGTTTTACATCTAAACAAATAATGGTTTATTAAAATTGCTACTAGTAATTTGTGGTTAAAATAATTTGGTTTTAATCTTACTAAAAATTAGACAATGAGTCTGGTACACGACACGAAACTTTTGGAGCTTACTCTGAATTCTTTCAACCTTTGAAAAGCAAACAAGTCGACTTTTCGGACGAGCCAGTTCATAGTTGTAGCGTGACGTCATTATTTTTTATTTATTAATAACTCTATTAATAATATTGTAAATAATTCTATTAAAAATACAGCCTACGATTAAAAAAGTTAAAATCTTAAAGAATAATAAATTTTTTAGAAACTTAGGGAATATTCTTACTGAATCTGGTTTGATCGTTCTGTTTAAAATGCACCAATCATATTCTCAATTTCTAAATGCATATTTCATATAATTATATATTTTTATTTTGATGAAAAAGTTATAATAAAAAAAAAACTCTCGGTGCAGCATTCTAAATTGTTTTATTTCAAAATGTTTTCAAAGCATTTTAATTCAACATAAAATCGTTTGTTAATGACAAAAAGAGAAGGATCGAACATATCGACACTTATTTTAAGAGTAAAACTGATTGAACTTCAGGAAGATGAAGTGAAGCAAGCTGCAAAAACTCGAAATCGGGAAATGACCCAAGCATAGACTCATTTTTTAGGTGACCATAGACTCATTTTTTAAAATGTGCCTCTCAACAGTAAAATTTATGTTACTCAACTTTACGTTACATTTTGTTTTGTTGCGCAAAAACTTTAAGACTTAGAAACTTTAAATATGTGGTACAATGGAATAAAAATGTTTACTATTTTATTATTAAGTTCAGGGATGGGACAAAATACCATGTGGGCTGCTCTGAAACCCACAGAAATACACCTAACGGCTAAGAACTGTTTTAACCCCTTTACGCAGAATTTTTTTCAAACATATTTTTCATGTTTTTGTTCATTATTCTGTATTAATTTAGATCAAAATAAGTGAAAAATATTATATTTAACATTTTACGATTATGAAATACAGCATAAGACATAGGTGTCCATTTCTGAGATTAAGGTAAAATCTTCCAGACACGTCCCACTTTCAAAAAATAATTTTTCAAATTAGCATTGCAAATAACTGCAAGTTTTTCAAATTTAAATTTTTTCAAATCTAAGAGGAACAGTTGTACATCATTGAAATTTGTTTTAATTAGCAAAATCAATTATTAATAAATTTTTAAATATGAATGAAAAAAAATTTTTTTTAAAAACTTCTTTCGTTTTTTCGTGGGGGGATTTTATATTTTAGTACAAATATAACTCCGGTAATCTAAAAGATTTTTTAGCAACTATTAGACTATTTTTTATAATTAAAAAATATATTTTTAACTGTAATTAGGGAATCAGAAAAGAATAACAAATGGGACATCGGCGTCTCGTCTGCGACAAAGGGTGAGCACGGCAGATTTATTATCCCACAAAACGCCTTGTAATGTTTAATACGCATTGATTGCAATTAGTATACAATTTCATGTGTATAATAATTATTGTTTCTCTTCGGATTATCATTTTGTAAGCTTTACCTATGTTGTACATTTTAAAATAAATGATCAATTAATTGCGTGCGGTACCTCGCCAATCATAATAATGAATAATAAATAATTATATGTCATAATGATGAATAAAAAATAATGAATAATATGAAATGAAACACACTGTTTATCATTGTATATAAAGACTAGAAAAATATTTTTTTCCGCAGTTTTATTGAAATAATATATTTGAATTAACCAAGCACAAATGTTTATCTAATGTTAAATTCTTATTGCTTTTTCTGTACTATGCGACGAAAGATAGTGCCATAGAGAAGTAAATAAAATGAGACTTCCTCGCGTGGCAGAACGAGAACGTCACTTCAGCTGATCGAAAATACTAAATGGTCTCCTGCTCTTAAAAGTAAACCACTCACACTATCCAGAAATAAATACCACGTGAGTGCGGAAGAGAAACTTCTTTTTTTTCTTCCTTCAACCTTTCCACCATTATGTCATCGGAAGAAAAATCGTTTGAGATTCCTATTCGCGATTCTGCTGTTTAAATGCAACAGGAGCTTGTTCTTTACGAAATTCCGAACTAAAATGTTACTTAAAATAGAGAAATTTTTTTGGCGATCACCAGGACGCAGTTAAAAGTACGAAGAACTAACAGAACGTACACAAAATATATAACTTTTGTTCAATGCAATGCCTGGTAAATAAAACATAAAAATGAGTTTTGAATTAAAAGAATGTTGCAATTCAAAGGAAATTTCACTTTTTATTAAATGGTTTATTAAAACAATTCATCTAATTAATTAGAATGGGATACTTGCAAGTGACGTAATGTGGATATCGCGATCCTGATTGGTTGTTGAAACATGGCATTTGTTTACGTTAGAAACTGTTCTTTCCATTCTATTTCGAGTAAGCCAACCACACCATGTATAATTTTCTTAAGTGACATAATCTGTATTCTTTCACAATGATATCAGTTCTTTCACCATATATTTCTTATTTATCACAAAGACAGGCAGGAAGCCACGCGAAACATAAACAAACTAATTATGCATCGAAGTTGCCAGGTACACAAAACAAAAATATATCACGGTTATAATAAAATATAAAAACAAATAATAAATCCAAGCTAAGTAATAGACATAGACAATAAATAATTATATTTCAACAAATGCGAGGTGCAATACGGAGCTGTATTTAATTAATTTCACGTTAATTAACATTCTAAGTTATGTGGTGAAACTTAACTCAACTTTACCACGCCATTTTGCCTATAACTATTAGCTGACGCTATAGGTCACATGTGTGGGTATCAGAGATCTTCTTTTTAAAGTGCAAGTACCCAATTCTCATCTAATCTAATAAAATAATCACTTATATCTATTTTCAAAATTCGTAATGATACTATTAATTAAGAAACATTTTTTTTTCGATTTTAAATTGCTTTTATTTCAGCTAATAAATGACGGAAGATTCGATGCCTTTTCATTATTTCTTATTAGATATAATGTAATCAGGAAAGAATGATTTTCTATTAATTTATTCTTTGATGTATATGTTACCTTAAATTACTTAAATTAGAAAGTTGGAATAATTTTTTATTAATTTGTTATTTTATGTGTATGTTGCAGTGCATCACACGAATTAGAAATTGAAATTGGCAAAAAATGAAATATCTTTAAAAAGTTAAAAGATTTTTCCAACTTTCAACCTAGATTGAGTAAATAAACAATATTTTTGGGGTGGAGAAAGTAATAACAATTGGATTGTGTCCCTCCCTATATTATAAGTGTTATAATACGGCATCGATTTTTTTCCTTCCTTCTTTTGCAGGAGATGGTAGACAGTCTGGTTTACTGATATTAATTGACGACGGCTCACAAACAGAGGAGAGTGGTTCAGGTAAGAAATTAATTTTATTCATACTCCTTCGTAAAATAAAAAAAATAGAAAATAGATAGAAAGATAAAAAAAAAGTAGTTAGATAGAAGGAAAAATATTTTAATTCCGTTTTCTTCCTTTTCAGAACATACTAATCGTAAATCAATGACGGTATCCGAACAGATGCAGGTCAGTATAAAACGATTTAAATAATAGTTTTACTATTTTGTTTTAAGGGAACTTCTCAGGGCTAAACTAATTGAAATCTGGGATAAAATCCCAGATAAAAGTGCTTTTTTCTTTTCTTTTTAGGGGGGAGGGGTCATGAGAAAAAAAGGGTTAGTCATTTTAAGATAGATGAGCACGTATCCAAGATTTCAATTCATTTCAGACTTTTTATAAGTCCGATTTTGCGAAAAAGTGAAAATTCTACTCGTGGAAAATTTTTGAAACTTAGCGTCCTGATTTTATGAAAAATCATAAACAATTGTTATTTTAGACTTTTTGTAAAAGGTTTGATTTTGTGAATTTGTGATAAGTTTATTTATAATTTTTTGTATTTGTTAAAATATGAATCGGCTTTTGTCAAAAAAACAAAAACAAAAAAAAAATCGCAAGAACCAGTTGCATATACAATACTTTTAGGGAAAGATCAGTTTTGAGAAAAATCAATTTATAATTTAATTTTAATTTTAATGGGGGTTAATTTTTTTCATTTATTATGTATTTTGATAATTATCAACTCATAATTTTTCCACATGTCTGGGAGTTTTAATTTACGTAATTGTCACCGTTGATCGTTTTTTTTAAATTTTATGAAGGGCCTGCTTTTGCAATAAATTACTTTATGAAGTGTCTTTTAGCGAATAATAGTTTTGTGAAGTCCGTTTTTCCAACCCATGCTTTATGTATAATACCTTTATGCTGGGTTGCGTAAAACATTTTTGAAACGAAATAGTTCCCACAAAGAAATGGTTAAGAACACTATCCTGATGTGATTTTTTCTTTCTGTTTTGAAAACAACAACATGCTACACCAGGGGGTTTCCAACTTACATGAGAGGCCGGGGCCACAATTAAAAACACCAGTCAAATGGCGGGCCGCAACTTAGTCAAAATTTTATATAGGACTGTTTTATGTTTTAAGGAACATTAAATATTACTGTCAGGTTTTTATCAAGTTGTTCAAAACAGAAGTATTGAATTACAAATAATAATAAATATTTTCTTGGATACAAAACCTGAGAAATAATTTTTTTTTTTTGAATCATTGGTATTTTAAATTTCACAGAAACGAAGAATTTTTTTTTTTTTTAACGAAAGAAAAGTATTTTAAACCCATATTGAATTTTTACAAAAATATTCCGCAAAAAATTGTCAACTAATATATTTTAGTTCGCGGGCCAGATGCGGCCCGCGGGTCACCAGTTAGTAACCACTGTGCTACACAATTATACGGTGTATCACAGTGTAACAGTTGATGAATTACGAACAA